AAATAAAACAAAACCCAAAAATCAGAAAGGGGCAGTTATACACCTCAAAGTTGGTGTATAACTCAGTGATCTAGCACTTTCCTAACAAGGGCAAGAGTTCAGTACCCAATATCTTATAAAATAAATATAGAATTCATAGATGCAGACAGGCCCTGGGTTGTGAGTTCTCAGCTTCAGGGTGGTGTGAAACTATGCCCACATAACCACTGTTGATAGTGAGGACTATTTTGAGGGGCAGGGAGTACTATGGTGTATCAAGCAGGTTTTGTTTGGGAGGGAGATGATCACCGTGTTCTAAATGAGAATTAGGGAAGGCGTGTGCATGTGGCAGATGTGTAAGTGCTAGGCTGCAGGACCAGCACAGGCACGCGGCAGCAGTACTAAGGGCCCCAAACTCCCCATAAAGAGAGGGCAGAAAAGAGAGGGGCTGAACCTGTCCCCATTGCTGGCAACGGTATCTGTTAACAATCTGAAAGTGAACTGGAAGCCCGACAGGAGAGAGGGAGGCTGGGGAGGCGGGGAGGGTGGCACTCAGCTTTAATCCCAGCACTTGGAAGGCAAAAACATACAGATTTCTGAGTTCGAGGCCAGCCTAAACCCTGTCTAGAAAAAACAAACAATATATTGGAAAATGATAAAATCAATCAAAACTGATCTTTGATTACAAGGTCTGCCCCTACCTGGGCTGTCTGAAGTCCCTGAAGAGAAAAGGATGAGAGATATAAGAGGGAACTGGGGACAGCAGCGGAAAAACCAAGCCTGAGCTAGCTTTGGGGTGTTGAGCCCACCTCACCTTAGACAACTAACTCAGCCCCTTCAAAACGCCCTGGCTCCAGTGACTAGGCTGAAACAACAAAAGCAAGCATTTCTCAAAGTTAGCTTAAAAAAAGTAAAATCACAACATACTTCCCAGCCACACTGTGTTCAGCTTCTCATAGATTCTTCTGTCATAAGCTGTCAAGAAAGTCACCAGGGACAAAAACAAGACGCCAAAGTAACATGCAAGCCTAACCTCCCCCCCCCACCCCGACTGCTCAGAACACCTGGTACACAACACAACAGGTCTGTCTTTGGCGCACTTGGCAAAACTCAGTCCAATTCCCACAACAAGCCTCTGGAGGCAACCAGCTGCTCCTCATCCTGTCGGGGCTCGGCTGCTCCAGAGACAGAGAACCACAGAGATGACTGTCCAAGACACCTGAGGCTCGCTCAGCTAGAGGGAGGCAGTTCAGAGAGAGTCACAAGTCTGAGGAGCACCTGGAATGGAACCACTTGCAATACTCCTGTCTACCTGTGACTGGAGAGAAGCCCGTGCCACCAGGCCTAGCACACACAGGTTTATATTTATAGAGTTCACTTCTGATTTTAAAAACATTGTGTGTAGGCCTGTGTATCTGTATGTGGGCATATGCAAATGAGTGCAGGTGCCCAGAGGCCCAAAGTGGGCGTCAGACTCCCTGGTGGTGAACTTACAGGCAACTGTGCACCACCTGACATGGGACCTGGGAACTGACCCAAGTTCTCTGCAAAGCAGCCAGTGCTCCTGGTCACCAAGTCACTTCTCCAGCCCCAGCAATTTTTAAACAGTTTCCAATAAAATTCAAGAAGAATTATCTTCTGACTTATCAAAATGAAAGATATATATTGCTATTTACAGCACAAATACCATTTGTGTGAAACCTGGACTATCTTCGACTAGCAGGTTAAGCTGACATCAGCAGTCACCTCTCATATTGGTTCACAATAAATGTGATGTGTCATAACCGGTGTTCAGGAGCTAAGAAGTGAGGCAGAAAAGCAAACACTACTAAAGCCACAGTGGGGCCCAGGCTGCCTGGGGGAGCTACTCTGACTGCACACACTTATGAGAGAAAGACCCTGGAGTCATGTGTGAACTCGCTCTCACTAAGATGGAAGCACATCACCCCCTCTAGACATGCTGCCGTCACCGACTGAAGCAGCCGGCTCAGGCAGCAGCTGTCTGTGCAGCGAGCCACAAAGGGACACTTAAGAGGCAGCAGTGGCTCACAGCAACGCTCAGGGCGGTGGGCAAAGTGACTAGCCAAGACCAAAGCCAGCCTGAGAGCCTTCTCAAGGGAGCCACTAGCTTACCAGACTCAAGAAGTCCCCATGAGCTCAAAAAGGTCACTGTTTAGCATTTTCAATGCACCCAAGAAAATTCAACCTTCAATCCTATGGCTGTTGGCATTTAAGGACTTTTATCTTCAGAGTCTTCTGACAACCCACAAACTAAAGACTCCACTGTACTGACTAAGAGGACTGAAATCCCTCTGACCTGACAAGAAGTTAGTATTACAACAACACACTTGTCCCACCACAGCCCCATTCTGGAGCCCTGTCCTGTCGGATCCGCTTGCAAGAGGTCCTAGACTTCTCTGACCCTTGGACTGCCCACCCAAGCTCCACCCAAACAATTTCATCAGCCCACAACAACCCTACTCAGACCACTCCAAAACCATCCTAGTCCTGACCATGCCCACAGCTAAGCGACAGGAACAGGGGCAGCAGCAGTGTGTCACCCACCTCCAGTGGTTCTATGGCTTCACCTGAGAAGAAACACAATCAGCTTAAATAATCTGCCAGGCTCCCAGAGCGGACTCTCGGTGAGAACCATCAGAAACAACGCCACTGTGCAACGAAGCCCTGGGGGCCCAGGCTGCGTTTAGCCCTCACTTTCCCACAGCAGCAGCTACGACCTGTGGCTGCAGATTAAATCCAACTCTACTGGAAGGGCTCATAAAGGTGGGAAGCTAGCACCACAAGAAGGCACACTGGCCAGAAGATGGGGACACAACAGCCTATGTGTACAGGGGCTGTAGCCTGAGGTTAAACTCAGAGTGCTCGGCCAGACTCAGAGGAGCCCGAGATCAGTTCTGACGTGGAGCCTACACTTACGAACCAAGACAAAGCACAGTTTTGAGAACCCAGACAGAGTTTCACCATCCAGGGAATCCCCTGCCTCCTCCCTCTACTGACCAGAGATACTGAGTGCCGTGTACAGAGTGCAGAGAGATACTGAGTACTGAGTG